GAAACTCCGTTTGCGACGGATCGGCAAGCACTTTTCTCGCCAGCAATGATTCGAAATGCCTGGGGCACGATAAAAAGTTTGAAAATTTCACATCTATTAACTTTTGCTGTTCGCATATTCTGTTTTAAGTTTGAGTATCATCTGTTGTTCAGTGACATTATGTTACTTTCAGCGACGGCTAAGTTTCTAAAGGCAAAGTTTTCGAAGGAACATAGCGAGCTGGCGAGCGACGAATCACAAGCGAAGCCAACGGATGCGACCGGACAATCGCAGACTTTCGTACAGACACTGAATTCGAGTGAGGATCTGTACGCCGAACTGCGGAATTTAAATTTCAATGCCGTTGCCACCGTTCTTCGCGAGAAGGTTAAGAATGTCTCTGAACAAATTGAGGTATTTATTAGTCGATTACTTAAAGATGTGTGAAGCATACGCAACTAATAAACTTCTCACTGAATCTCATATTCTGTGGTCATTATTTTTGCTAGTTCGGCAGAACTGCTGTCGATGGAATGAAGAAATGCCCCACATCTAATTATGAATAGTATTTGCATATATAATATTTTTTACTGTTGATTTTGTTTGATTTTGTCATTCTCTGAGCTGATGGCGCCGAAACAGCAGAGAACGGTAAATTCCGTGCAGAAGGGTTAACGGGCATTTGACACGTTTATGGTCTTTCATTTCCGACTTCTCGTTTCTGCACTTTCAGCTGCTATTTCATTGAAGAAATCTTCCTTGCGCTAATGTCAGTTAGTCTTTTACTGAACGGTGGCCTTTACAAAAGATTTACGCCATTCGACGTCTTTTAAATTTTGTCTTATCTGATTACATGCAAAATTGGATAATTAGAAAAGATCATTTCAGTTGTTAAACATTCAAAAGTATCTTCATGACCTTCTATTGACTTTGAACACACTGAAGAAGAGCCTAAGAAATCAAGTAGATATAAAATTGTGAAATACATGCACAAATTTAGGAATTGATATCATGTTTGAAGCGAGCAGCTCTCAAGTCTCAAAGCTTAGATGCCGCTGTCTGTGAACATTGATTAAATGTTTTTTGCCTAGGGTGCTAAGAGCGATGATTATTAGGAGAATGACAATCATAACAATAGTGATGACGATGATGATGACAACGTTTTGCGGTTATATTGATGATGGTGGTGATTTTTAAGTTT